CATCCTCATGCTCTCTCATCAGGTGGGACTGCTCACACTGCAGCAGAGAAGCAAGGAAACAGAAAGGGTCTTACTGACAACTGCACGGAGATTGGGCACAAGGCAGGAGCGACAGCACTGTGGTTTTCCTACTCATCAAACCAACAGTGCCTTAGCAAGAGAAAAGAACAGACACAAAAGACTGACAGGTATATCTAGGTAGGTAGTTACAACACTTAAGGAACCCACAGACTATGCAGTGTACTTTTAGGATTTTTTTTTTCCTGAAGAGAAGTTGCCATTTCTGCTTGAAGAAAACCCCTACCACCACTTTGCTACTCAAAATAGCTATAAATATATCATCTTTGAATCCTAGGATCTTCCCTATGTGTTCTGAATTAGAACAAACCCTATGGCAGAAACCACATTATTATAAAGTAATCATACTTTGAGGTTATAACTTCTGTAGTGTAAGTACTTGTTTTTACTAATGTTTATAGGTAACATAGCATATTTTTGTTATGTTCGTACTGTCCAATAAAATGCTTATGACTTGAACAATTAAAGAGCTACATGACTGCTTGTTTTTTATACATATCATAAAATCCTCCTTTTTCCTTCCCACAGTATTTTAACTGTGGCCTCTCTGGCTTACTCTTCAGGCCAGTACATGCTCTATTTCAATTACAGCAACCATTACAAACCACTGCAATTACAAGCCAGCACTGCATGCTGATTGAAGTTTCGCTTGGTAGTGGCTGGCAAGAGTTTGATTTGTAAAATTTTGCTTCTGACCCCCTTCTGTCAAGCCTCCTTGCAATCACACAATGCTGAGTACCACATTATCAAAAAAAGAAAACTCACAAGCTACTTAACATCATAAAACCCACACTCTTTAACTGAAGAGCTGCAATGTAAAACCCTAGCCAAAGGGCCAAAATTGATAGTAAGATTGGAGGTCCTCCAAAACTGCTGAATCAAACTGTTTTTCTTACAAATCAAGTAAACACTCTATACAAGCTAACTCACTAAACCCTTTGTACTATAAATAAATAAATAAATAATAATAATAATAGTAATATACCCAAAGTATTAGGTGTGCCACAATTTTCATAATATGCTCCCATTCTTTGTCCACTGACATTCACAACTTGAAAACATCATCTACATAAAAACCTGCTTGAAAATTAAAATTTATAGTAAGCTTCAATAACATTTTCATTTTGAACTTCAAATAAATTTATTCCACAATTTTTAGCTTCCATCAACAAGCACACTTAAAAGTAGCCCAGGCATCAGAGTATCCTTCCACAGACTACAACAAAATACTTTCTACCTTCACCTGTAGTAAAAATCACTTTCACCTACATTAAGAGAAACAGATCATATCATCACATTGCAAAGGAGATGAAAGGAACACATTTCAGAACACTGATAATGCCCACCTGGCTTATGAAACTTCACGTTGACCACTGATAAGGCTTTACATGTATGTACATTATCATGACTCTTAATTGTAGGCTCCTTCTCCAGCTTATTTCTCACATTTTCACATCTTAACGTTGTATCTTTCTGAAGAACTACCACGGCTTTCAAAGTACAGAAATAACACAGAGAAAATTTTTCACAAAAGCTTTCGAGCAGATTTAGGGGTAATAAAGAGTTGCTTCTTCAGGCTTTCTAAACTTGAATTTCCTCTGACACATATATATGCCCACAAACGCAACTTCAGCATTATCCCGATTAATCTGTTACACGTTTTTTCCAAAAACACTGATGGTTTTATTAGCTTTTAAACCAAAGGGATGTTTCAGATAGAGTGTATAATAATTGTTTTCAGACAATAAATAAAATCCCTATCCCAAAAATGTTTTGTCTTTCTAAGCTATGCACTGAAAAGCAGAATTTATTTATCTTGAATGAAGATATATAGACTTTTGCTAATGGGTCTCAGCCACATTACGACTCGATTTCTGTTTTCTCCGGCCCTTTCTAAGTCACCATTTTTCAAGATAACATCATTCAGTGACAGATGTACCTTGTGAACAACCAGCAGACTGGCAAAATATGACAATAGCTTCACATTTGATTTTTTAAAAGAGCTCTTGAATGATCTTAGGTAAAAGCAACTGGAAAAGTCTGAAAGGAAACTTCTGTAGAAGATATGCTATGAAGCTAAGGACTGCTTTGCCTTGGAGGTGGGCAACAGAATCACATCAGGTAAGTTCTGGTCAGCCATGACAAAACTCAAGCAAAAATGGCAAAAGCATCCAAGCAACAGAAACACGGTTCAATATGAATCTCAAAATGCAGCAGTGGAAAATTCTTGGTTATTCAGGATTCCTCTTTGTTATGAAACATTCGTCTGAAAACTTAAAAAGGAAAAGAAACAAAAGCTTGTTTTTCTACCCACTGCGAAAGTTTTTCTCTGTGATACTGTGGCTGTTCACCATCCTCCTCAGTTTCTTTATGCTTTGAGTGTCAGAACAGCAATCTGCCACCAATCTCTACTTCTTTCCAAGGTGTACACATTCAGCTCTTGATATTTATTTGCATGTCAGTCACACAATAAATATCTTATACCCTTTTCCTCGTCTCTCTTCCAGCTCTTAAGGGCTCCAGTCCCAAACCCCTTAAGAGTTCCAGTTCTCTGAGAAAGCAAACACAGAGACAACCCACTGAGAGGCTGCAAAAGACAGCAATTAATTGCTGGGGTCAGGAGAGAAGTTTCCAGCACAGTTCTCAATATAAGCTGAGAACTCTTGGTTGTTTTTTGGTACAAATTAAAAAGGTTATTTCATTTACAATAAAAATTAACAACAGTTAGAATCACCATTGCCTGACCTCTTGGTGCTGGGAAACAACAACAACAACAGCAAGAAGTGTATGAGGGAGAAGGATGGTAAGAGAAAATATTTTAATTCAAGCTTAATGTCTGAACAAATGATTCTATTGCCTATTAATGTACACAAATTCCTAGTGAAAGAAACACTAATCATGTGTTATATTATGTTCATCTTTGTATTAAATTTGCAGTGTTCAATCAGAGGACAAAAAGAAAAGAATTAGTAGTAGCAGTGCTCATTAAGAGATGCTCCAGTGCCCCAGGCCCTGCACAGACAAACACTGGCTGTGGTGCTGTTCACCACGAATACAAGTCATCACCTGAACAAGCCACAGTCATAAACCTGTCTAACAGGATTACAGAAGCTAAAAATCTTTTCTCAACTAATACAGTATTTTAATTTGAGAGGAGTGGCAGATTTAAAAGTGGTAATCCATTTATCTAAATTTAAGTATAAAAACAAGTCTATAGTGCTAAATCCTCAATCACAAAAGCATGTATGGTCAGAACTAATTGCTCTCTGGTATGTTCTGTGTATAATTAATGTGGAAGATGAATACACACACAGAGAATTAATCCATGTCAGATAAGGACATCACACAACAGAACAAGTAATTTCAATGTTCATCTGAACACCATGCATTTCTATTTCAAGTTTCTCTGTTAAGTGAGAAACTGCAGCCTTCCTGTGAAGTTCATATGTTCTTACATGTCTGTAGAGAATGTTGCTTCTGTTCTTGTATGTCTACAGAGTGTTGGTTTTATTCTTATACTGAAATTAAGCTGTTTCTCCCTATATTCTGAATAATCAAGAGGATGGAAAGAATTATCACTGCAGTAATGAGACTTACTGCAGTGACACAGGATCCAGAACAATGCAGTACATTCTTTGTCTAGAGCTATTACAAAAATCCAAAATAACAATGACTAAGCCCAAAGAATGAGAGAGCAGGACAACCTTGTGAAAGGAGATGAAATTATAAGAAAAATATAGTAAGTGAATTATCTATTCTTGTTGTACTTGCTGAAACATTTAGCATGTTATTAAATCCCATGCTCAATCACAGAACTGCAGAACTCAATGTCACAGAATGTTGGAAATGCCAAGAATGTAGATGGATTAGAAAGAAGATTATATAAATCCATGGAGAATAGGACTACAGAGGGCTATAAAACATGATGTGGCCGCCTGCTCACAGTGTTGGAAGAAAGGTAGTGTTTATCACTATCAAAGCCAGGATACTGTGCCACATAGAGCCAGTAGAAAGCACTACAATTCTCATAATCACAGGAAGATTTTTACAAGAAGACATTAGTTGTGGCTGACCAGTCTTTTACAGTACATTTCATTCAAGAGATCATTTTACTGCCGAACACTGATTAAAAAAACACAGAGACAAAGAGATCTGCTGTGTTACTGAAATAATAGAAGCATGTAGAGAAATGCTATATCTAGTCTTCACAAGCTGCAGATTTGGAAGTGAGCATGCTACAACAACCTCTGATCAGTTACATTACTTCACAAAATCTTAAGCCCAGGCTGTCCAACTAGCTTTTTTCATCATTTGTCATCTATCACTTCAGTCATGGTTTCCCAAATTACCTCCACTCTGCAAATCACTAATCCTTCCTTCCAAATGCCTCACAGGCTTCATGAAATGATGGGAAAGGTATTACTAAAAATGTGTTTTAAGAGCTGTTTGTTCCAGAGAGCATTTACTATGCCACCTAAAATGAAACATGTGCTGCCTTTTTAAGTACAGTCCAGATACAGAATAGGATTTAACACTGACCCACTAGTATCTGAGTATAGTCATGCAGAACCTCAAACACCCCCTATTTAGTTTATGCTTTCTGAACCTCTGGCTCACATTAGACAGAAGCTGTAGAGGAAAGAATAATGAATGAATCTCTGTGGAGTGGAAAGAAAAGTTTAAAAAATTATGTTAAGTGGCACATGGAAGTGGTGAAGTTTGAAAAAGAGGACAAGGTGCAGTGGTTTTACCAGAGTATGTCTCAGTACTTAAACACTGCCAACACATAGAATATATGAGTTGTGTTTGTTTAATGATTTGAATTCCTTAAGAAAGATTTGTATTTTATTTAGTACATACTAAATTCTATCCTCTTCAGGACTTTAGAAAAAACTAAACTGCAAAGAGATACATCATTAAACCTTTATGTAAAACTGTTCATTAAAAATACTTTATAAATCTGAAATCTAGCTATCAGCCTGCTTTTCAGATACTCCAGTTGTGTGCGTTTCACAGGTTAGGAGATAGTGATCACTATGCTTATGTTCATGTGGTTTAACATCAAGTAAAAACCCCCAGCACTACAAACCAAGCACTATGTACGCATGCATAATTGGTAACCCATCAAAGAAAACACCAAGCAATCTTGTGCTAACAGAGCACATCTTAATTGGTATTAAAGACTGATCTTTAATCCCAGTTGCCATCAGTGTATATTCGGTACTGTAACGGAGCACCTACAAGGCACTCTTTACTGGCTGAAAGATAATATATGTATCTTTAAATAAAGACCCAGAAATAAAAATAAAACACTAACAAAAACATGCGGTCAGCACCAGACCCTCCAGAGTTATAAGTAACAACAGTAAAGTCAGTGCAATCATGCAGGATGATGTGGATCACCTGGATACAGTGAATCCATCTGAGAGTTTAACGATTGTCAAATGCAGCCTCATATCAAACTGTAAGCCAGAAAGAGGACTCTATCCCAAGGATATCCAAAGAATGCCACAGAAATTAGAAAAGTCTCTCAGGATTATAGCTGATAAACCATGTTAACTCCCAGTATGGCTCTGGCTCATATATCGAGGGGAATAAAAACATGAAAGTGATTTAATTTCTGCATGTTACACTGATGGTCTGCAATAACAGTATCACTTACAAGCCCATAAATCTTAAAGGCAGCTGAAAAAAACATTAGGGAATGCAGGCAAAGGCCAAAATAAGGGAGGACTGAAGTACGAGCCTGAAAATCGAGACTGTTTAAACACTCCTATATTTGGCTTGAATTTAAGTAACACAGATGAAAGGTGTCATCAAAACGCACTAAATACTTAAAGCTTTAAATCTGCAAAATCACAGAATGGTTAAGGATGACAGGGGTCACTGGAACTAACTCACTCAGTCCCTTACCCAACCTAAGACCAGGTCCAGGTGCCTTGAGTACTTCCGAGGTTGGAGATTCTACATCTCTGAGCAACAAATACGGTGCCATTACAGGACAAAATGCTATGAAATGTAACTATTTATAAAAGGTATTTGATAAAATGGCAGTATCAGAAAACAAAGATTTTTTTACAGAAGAGAGAAATATTTTTAAAAAATAGTTCAATTTTCCTTGCTTGCATTTGCCTCTATGTAAGAGCTATCAAAGCATCAGAGTTCCAACCTTATTCTTATTTAACCCCTTGGCTTTCCACTGGCTGGCTGTGTCTTCCACAATTCCAACTGGCTTACTGGAAGCTAGACTAAGATCACAATTTCTCAAATAACATCAAAGCACTGAAAATTGGCAGTAACTTTTGATAAGTGTTAACTTGTGCTGTGTTTAAATGTGACCCAGGAGTACAAGGCTCTGCAACCAGTTACCTAATCCATTGACAGCAAGCTCTAATTCTTATATTCTACAATAATTCAAAGCATTTGTTACTTATATGGACTTCAAACCAAAATGTATCTAATTAATTTTTAGGGGTTTTGTTCAGAAAAATGTCTTCAACACAAAAAAGGTAAAACCCATGGCAACTATGCGCCTTGCAGTCTTAAGATTCTTTTGATTTGTGACATAGTTCAGTATTTTCTTCTCTCTCTGAGGAACAGGGACTGCACAAAACCAAGGACCATCTTCAGAATCTTGAACTACTATTCCTCACCTGTGCTTTTGCCAGTTTCTTTTCCAACAGGTCGCGCTCCTTTTCTGTTTGTTGTAGACGCTTATTAAGCTCCACGATGTCTCCCTTTAATGAAGCCAGGGCTGCTAAATGAAGCTGGAAGACAAAGAGGAAAGAAACAAATTAACCAATTCACAAGCCATTTAGCACTAAAGAAGAGATTGTATTATATAGCAGCTATAGTAATGTTGGATTTCTGCAGTAGTTAATAGGAACTTCAGTAGAACAAAGTCTAAAAGAAGTCCACATACAACTAACAATTTAACTAATAATTTTAGCATGGAATTTTTCTTTCCAGGAAGCATACACATTTCTTCACTATATCCTTTATAAGGATAAATACAGTGAGGAATAATTCAGCTAGAAACGTGTAGATTAGTTCTAATGCTAGTTCATTAAGACGCAGCCTGAGTCTTGCACTATAAAACCTTACATTAAATGTTAACTAAGATTTGCATTATAGAATGAGGTGTACCACGTTTCAAGGCCTTTAGACATACAGAGGTTATCAGTTTGCTGAAAGTGGGTAGCTTGATGCAAAGGATTTGGTTTTGTTATGCAACTAATGCTTACTCCACTGCAAGCTACTCCTCTGCAGTTGTTGCTCTCAGCCCCACGCTAGCGAGTTTCAGTGATTTTTATCTACTAACCCACACATGAAGAACTTGAACTATTTTTCTCTCTGCAGCAGATCCTTTTGATGAAAGATACTTTCTATGCTTAGCTGATAGCATGTGGAAATATATAACAGACTAGGATAGCTCACAACATTGAAATTAGGTTAGATACGTAACATAGAAGCCAAGAATAGTTCTTAAAAGAATTGTTCCCACTCTCTTCTTGTCCTTAAATATCCCATTCATCATTTCACTGAAGGCATCAGCCAGAATTCAACACTATGTATTGACAAGTGCAACTGTTAAGTTCAGGAGGAGAACTAGCCACTAGCCCTGAAGTCTTTCTTCACTGTAGTAAAAAACAGCTTCAAGTTATACTGGATATGAAAACAGAAGTGACCTGTCAGACCAGATCAAGCAAGAAAGCAAACACTGCTCTGTTGCCAAGATTCAGGCTGAAATACAAACTCTGCTTCTAATCCTCCATCCACTTTCAGTCCCTCAATCTGATATTCTACTGCGGTCACCTAAAAGTAATTTTTCTTGTTTCATTTACAATGAATCAGCTAATGAGTCCTATTTTGATATAAATTCTTCCTTTATAATACTGGAAGCCAGCAAAAGCATAGCTCTTTTCCCATACTGATACATGACAGCAGCTGCCTGACAGCAGATCAACTTCTGAGAGACCAGATCATTTGGCAACTGCTTCTTCACATACAGTATTCCCATTGTTAATGAAAAAAAATCCTTCAAGACAGGAAAGATAATTTAAAAAATATATTTGGATTTGAATTTTGCCTTTTAAAATGCTGGGTAACTAGTTATTCCCATCCTCACTTGTGAGTTCCGTCAACAGGGTTTTTATTACATCTGCTACAAAAATACCTTGCACACATGCAGTTATTTGTTTCAGTACGAATATATACATGCACAATTTGTATGTTGTAGAACATTTAAGATTCTCAAGGTAGCTTCATTTTTCATGTAAAATCCCAACAACTCAGGCTTGCTAGGGGCATATCCTACATAGCAGTAAAGTATGTACACTGAAACCTCTCAATAAACCCACAAACATCCTGAATACCTTTAAATATTTTTGACTTTCAGCAGAAGGCCTCCTTCCTACCACAGGAAACTGATTTTACAGTGCACTGATTTTACAGTGTGGAGAAAAAAGAGCCAGACCAATTGTACCAATCTGTTCATAACTTGCTTCCAATTTTCAGGAAAGATGTTGAATTTTTAAGCCACTGTTTCACCTTATTCTCCTAACAGAGCTGAATTGTTGCAATGAAGCTCACAAGTTTGTTCATCAGAATGTGTATTCTTCACCACAGCTTTCAAACACTACATGAAAAACGTCTACAATTCTCCAAACTGAATAAAAATAAATGCTACATAGTCAAGTATCATTCCCTTTTACACACTGTAATTAAATGATCAGTAGCTGTGGTTTTAATTAAGTACAAGACTAATAATGCCCATACACATGGCCTTGTAATATAAAAGGACACCATTAATTTGAAAATCTCAATGAAAAGCAGCTTGTTCTCTGGACAGTGGAACTAACGAGGTAGACTTCTAATGGATTTGTCTTTGTCCTCTTCACCCTCTGCAGTCAGCTCAGCTGCTCCTCATGTTCCCTAGCACACTGCAAGCTGGGTAAGAAACAACATGAATCGTGCCTGGTTCTACAGCAACCCTGCTGCCTGGCCTGGTAGCCCCTGCCAAACGTGGGTATCCAATATGTAAGTTACATCCACCTCTATGTTCAATATAGCATCTCTCTTCTCCAAGTAACCAAAGGATGGCTTTATTAATGACAAGGAAAGCTTGTTGCACCTTTTTACCATCCAAAATTACCCTTTTATTAATTGGACTGTTTCAGTTTCCAGTGCTAATGAAATAATAAATAAAAAAAAAAATTTACTGAAAAGGCAGACTAAGCAAAAAGAAGCTATCATAACAGAGGAGGGCTGCTTGTAGTACCCTAGTTTGATGTGCAAGTGATGCCTCCAGCTACTACTGCAATACATAAGGTTAACACACCCAGTATAACCGTGTATTCATGGCAGAGTCAAGCTCTCCAGTTCATTAAAAACATGTTATATAACCATTACTCCACTTTCCTTTAAGGTGGGAGTGTTCTCACAGACCTTGCTTCCCAATGTGCTTGTTTATGACAAGGCAGGTGGGAACTGGAACATGATCTCTGGATGCTGCTGTAACTCAAAAAAGGAAACATCAGAGCAAAGAGCTACAGTCCATGCAGAAGTATTCTGGGTGCGGGAAAAATAAAGAAGTATAATAACCACGAAAGTATAAAATAAAGTACGATAACGAAATTATTAAAGTGGGAAAGACTTCATTTAAAAATCTCAAAAGTAAGTCAACCACAACTGTAAGTCTGCAGAACTGCTACAGGACTGTGACAACTGAGAAAGAGAGAATGTAGGTAGCCACAAGGCATACTGTTTTTTTTTCTCTCTCAGCAAACAATGGCAGATAGGGCAGAGTCACTATGACTTACATTCACACCATACATTTATAGTTCAAAGGGGCATGCATTAAGATTAAGATACACATGAGATTAAGATTATTAAGATTAAGATTATGAAACACATAAAAAACTCTTCAGTGTGCAAAATTAATACAGATAGTACAAAGATTTCAGCTTGTACAAGACATTGGTCTGAACTGTTAAGCAACAGACTGCAGAGAGACCTACTTCATACAGAGAAAACAATCAATTGGCAAAGCTTATGCTGTTCATAAACTTTACACTGATCCAATAAATCTACTCGAGTCCATCAAGAAAGAAACCATTGTTGCGATGCTGAGGCGCCCAAACTGTCCAACTGTTCACACAGGATCAACATGTGAGAGCAAAGATAAGATGGGTCAGACTAGCGAACCAATTTGCTTTTCTATCATCAAGGAAGTAAGAAAATACATTAGATGCATAGTATAAATATAAAATTAATTACCTATCTTCACTAAGAAGCTACAGTTTCCGTGAGCTTTTTTTTTATTGCAATGACAACAGCGGGTTGCTTACTGAAACATATATATACCACATGCTATACCCAACATTATCCTCTCAGGTTTTAATATAATAATTATTTTATTATTATTATTATAAGGTATTATTAATACAAAATAACAAACTGCATAGTATTCTTTTTAAAAAAGGCAAACCAATGTGCAGCTAAGTTTTGAAAGGTATTATAATTATAAAAACATAAAAACAAGTTTAGGAAAAGCAACTTCCTGACCTCTGATCAAGCTTCCTTTATGAATGCAGTTTCTTCCTCATTATCCACCTGCTTCTAAGCATTTCATACAATACTGCAGGCATGATATGTGATGCCTATTTTGCACTGTGCTTTGAAGACTACTTTTGGTGCTGTGAAGTATTTTCTACAGGAATTAGGAACAACATTTGTGGGCAGTCGGGTTTCTGATGAATTTTGTGGGAAACAAATACAAAAGTGGACAGGATAGTAAGATGAACTGAATGCCAAGGAAGCAGGTGACTAGTGTACTGTTGTACACACTGCAAGAAGTGTTCTGAGGCCAAGAACAAACCACGAGAAAGACACAAAGAGCAATGAAGGAAGATGCTGACAAAATGATAAGGTTAAAGCCCTGAAAAGCGCTAAAATTACTATTGCACTCAGGATTTTTCCCAGCCATTGTGAAATGTGATCCTCACCACTAAATCTGACCCACATTTCTCATTCCCTCAGCCTGGAACCAGACTAATTAAACCATATTGCTAAAACCAGCTGTACTGACTGCACATGTTTGCAATTTTCAACACAGAAATTATAAAAAGGACGTATGCACATAATTCTCTGTGAAACTGAAGTACTAATCTTATCTTTTTCCTCTTATTTACTGTATTCCTCAGCTACAGTACTGTGGCACACCAGTTTGGGAACCAATGTTCAGAAAGGTAACCTCTGACATATTCAGGGAGCCATAAAATCATACCAAATTATATACCAATACAAAGCAGCCAAACACCAAAAGACCAGTTTATTTGTTCTGTGTGTGTCCTCTGTGGCTGATCATTAAAGCCCTACCACGGGAGACGGATCACAGATGGGCCAGGGTGATGTGTCCATGAAGCTCAGGAAGAATGTGGCTGGGTGGAACAGAGCACAGCTGTTGCAAAAAAAGCTGACTTGATCTCAACACCAAGAGGAGCTGAGGGTGGGTTTTGATTTAGATAAACAACTATCAACAGCTGAAAAAATCAGCTGGTGTGTATTTCTCCCCAAGCTCATTAAGAGTGTGACAGTCTCCCTGAGTCAGCCAGGCCAGTGTGGGGTGTTATACATGGCTCAGCCCAAAATAAAAACTACAAAAACATAATCAACTGACAGAATTTCAAAGCGAGTAATGAGTTTGAGGCAGTTTCAATTCACACATTTACTCTGGGCAAGGCCAGGGATGCCCAGGGTGGTGGGA